GTAGGCACATGAAAAAAGCACTGTAATCTATAAGCTGTGTTGCCTCATTTTGAAGGTGAAACAATATTTGGAACAATTTGCTTGGTTCTAGAAAAATTAAATTTGCCTGTTCTTGGATGAAATGAAACATGTAATAGTTTTAAATGTTCTGGACATAGGAAAAAGAAGGATCCAGGACAAGCTTTTCTGTCTGTAACAGTCAGGACTAGATGGCAGCAGAAAACACAATAAACTCTAAAATGTTGCTGCCATCTAGTTGTAAGGCAAGGTTTTGCAACCCAGATCTTGTAGCCTTGGCCCTAGTGTTTCTGAAATTTGCTTTGGAAGTAGAGATGTTCTAAGTCAGTGATGGCGAACTTTTTAGAGACTGAGTGCCCAAAAACTGGCCCCACCCCCACTCTACCCCCTGCCCCGCCCCCGCTCTGCCCCCCATCCCGTGCCCCGCCTGCCCACAGGACCACTCACCGCCTCCAGGGCCTGCTACAGATCGCCCAGGCAGGCCAGCAGCGCTATGGCGGCCACACCCTCTGCCCACGCCCTACAGCATCAACTGCATGATGCGGTGTGAGGGCAGAGTCTTGTCTACGCTGCCCGGCTGCCATGTCCTTGGCTATGCTGCTCCATGTGGGCCATGCTCGAGGGCGACTCTCCTTCAGGGGGGCTGCTGGAGAGGAGGCGGTCACGGGGGGAGGCAAGGCTGGGGCAACGGCACGTGTGCCCACAGAGAGGGCTCCGAGTGCTGCCTCTGGCACCCGTGTCATAGGTTCGCCACCACTGTTCTAAGTAAAGCTTCACACAGGAAACAACAAACCATTCAGTCAATTACTTTCTGTGGTATAGGAGGAGATCCTGAGAGAACATAACAGAACAGAAATAGATCCACTGCCCAGAAGAGGGACTCCATCCTAGGAAATGCAAAAAAATGCCCCCTGCCTTACCATAGGTATTTAAATCAGAAATGCATATTGAATGTACATTAGAGTTAGGGTTACATTTATAATGCTGTATCAAGTAGTGCATTAGAACAAAAAATTGCTTATGAGTCATGCACACACCTTGATCAGTAAAACAACTCTTCATTTTAAACCTACAGAATTACAGATGATCTCTAGCAAACAGGTTGAAACAAGCAAGTTCAAGCACACCTTTGTAACAAAATGCACCATAGATTGCACTGTCTTTGCATAAAAGCATTTTTAAAATGTATTTATCTTAACAAATTTTAGAAATATAGAAATAAATACAATACCGCTGGCCACACATGAAAGTTTGTTGGCTATGGCGGTGGGTTTAAGGGAAGATAAGGAACTATGGGAGAAATGTCCCAAAGGTGCTTTTCTAAAGGCAAACTTGGGTTTTTTTTCCCTTGAAAACATTTCACTTCTCCTCCAAGAAGCTTCTTCGTTTCTGATTGAATAGTAAATAGTTAGAACTGAAGAAACTTTTTGGGTGAAAAGTGAAACGTTTTCAAGGGGGAAAAAAATCAAGAAAGTCCAGTTGCCTTTTGAAAAGCACCTTTGGGACAACTATGACCCTAGATGTCTAAGAATCTCCATAGACATGGGAGAGATTTAGGAATTAAATAAACTCTCATGGAAAATCCACCTCTCAGTGATGTTACCCAGAGACTGAAAAAGACATGTAGATTCTCTTCTGGTGTTGTTCCATTCAGTTGCTGATCAGAAATGAGCCAGGTAAGCCACATGTGGAATTCATCCAAGCCTGAATCCAGGGACTTGCTTCATTTGACTAGCTCAGAGTGTGACTTGGTTGAAATCACATCTCAGGAATAACTCTCTTCATTGTTGAATGCATTTAGGCAGTAAGCAAGTAAATGTCAGTGCTCTAGAGAATGAGGCAAGGGACTAACCCAGGGGTAAGCTGGCTCAGGAATTCTAGGGGTTGAAGTCCACAAGTCATAAAAGAGCCAAGATTGTCTACCCCTGGACTAATCCTTCACCTCCCTCATGTAGCAGGTCAGAGAAGTCCAATATGGGGGGAGGATGACTTAAAGAAGATGGGTTATTTCACCAGGTCAGTGTTCAAGAGTGAGTGACAGTTTGTCATCATGTCCCTTGTCCTGTAGAACACCTCATTCAGGACATTGGTTGATGAGTAAAAGACTTATTATCAAGTGTCTAATGCCAAGCCTTGGCAGACCTTGGCCATTGCCTCAAACAGGAAAAGACCCATTCCCTCATCTTCCTTGACAAGCTTAGTTGATATAGAACACAGCCTTTTGCACTACTCTTTGAACCAATAGGCACTCATCCCTGGAAAGGCAGAGGGCAAAGCATACTGTCTCAAGTTAAGATTGGAGCATTTGGGCCTACTAAGGAAAATCCTAGGCCAGTTACTGTTGTTACAGGGGAAGGAGCGCGCAATGGATGGCCCTAGTCTTGTCCTCCATTTGGTCTATTTACACTGTCAATGGCTCTCTGTAGCAGAAGAGATTGTCAATTGTGAACAATAATTCTCTACACCTTTGGGTCACACAAGG